TTGATAAACAACTCTTTTTTTGGTTTCTGTTCAGGTGCGTAAATGTATAGAGAAGATGGGTTCGAACTTATGAACACTTCACGTATAGCAGGCCGTGTGAAAAAAATGGCATTTCCAGATTTATGCCATACACTTCTAGCGACTATCCTTGTGTCCTGTTGATTGTTATTTCAAATGCAATTTTCCCTTTAAACTGAATAGGTTTGAACTGAAAGGGGAAATCGTTGGAACACAAAGATTCGTAGAATCAAGCATTCGGCCCCTTGTATTCGATAGCTGCATCACAATCAGTCGGGTTCCATTAAACAGTTTCGGCGCATGAAGATTGCGAAACATAATAATGGCAGATTCAGCTTTGAGACGTAAATGATGCGGCGGCATACCAAGCCTCTAAAAAGAATTTAGAAATTCCACTGGATAATTCACGGCTTCGTCTTCATTGTCAAGATTGCACATTTCCAATTCTAAGCGAATACGATGTAAAATGTTCTCGGCAATGTAATTTTTGTTCATAGACAATAATTGACGCAGATCAAAAAGTGTGCGAACTTCAGTGGTATGAGAAGTAGCTATCGCATCGTCCATCATTTGATTCCAGCGATTATTATGTTTCAGCAATTATCATTTCATTACATTAAATAACATTAATCAATAGCAACAGAAAGAAACAATCGTCGTTTTTCGGGTGGATTGTGTAAATTCATCTTAATGCATTAGTTGAGAACACACCTGAATGTCCATATACTGCTTGGCCTTGTTTTCTGTGTAAGCAAACAGATCACTGACGAAATTCGTGAATACAATTTTGTTGTTGGCGGTGTTTCCGTTCGCTGTACTGTATTCTCTGGGTTGAAATACACACTTTGGCCTTCTCCATATGAACTGCAGGATGCACAACAGTCAGAAAGGGTTCATGAATGCAAAAGTAAATATCCTATAAAGCGCTCCATTGCAGTTCATGTATCGATCCATTTGATAATTTCTGATCTCATCGCGGTCAAGGCCAATAACTGTTATATTGCTTTCTTTGGTGACGCACTTCCAAAGGTATTTGACCGATTACACCAAACTGCAATGCTCAACATTGATTGATATGAAGTGGGATGGTGGTGTCCGCAAGGTCAATGAACCATATTGGTTTTCATCACTTCGTATAATACTGGATCTTTTTCTGTATCAGGAATTTTGATTAGGATCTGCGAAAGCAAGTGCGGCTGAGCTGGGCAATATTTTCAGTCCACCAGTAAACTGCTGCAATATGTTTGCTGTGGAAAGCCTTTGGCATTGATTATTGACAGGCTTTTGTTTTATTAAGAATTGTGGGCTATATTCCAGTTTCGTGTTCCAGTATTTTTTCTGTGCTAGTAAGTGTTTCTTCCGATGTCGATTATGAAAGAGATGTAGTGATGATCGTTGCCAGTGTAATCCTCCAAGACTTTCAAATTATTTATTGAGCCTGCCATGCCTTCTGGCTTGTAGGATCTTCATTTGCTTCGGTAGTTCCTATATACCGAACATTTTGCGGAGCCCGCGGTATGGTCAGCTTTTTCGTGTTTAGTCTCTAAGCAAAGGCAGCATGAAGGAGGCTTTGTGCCTTTGTGCACTCTTTCAATTTGTGACCTGGTTGGCCGCATTTTATGCAAGCAGCTTTTCCTCTTCTATCGGGCCCTTTGCAGTACCAGGTTAAGTGCCCTGGTCAAAAGTAGCGGAAGCACCTTTTGGCGGTTTCTTTCAGCCGCAGCCTGCAGTTAGCCCCGCCCAATTTTTATGTGTGCCTGTCGCATCAGTGTATCAGCTCTGTCCTGCTCCAGTGTTATATATGTGTGCCCTTACCTGCTCTCTTCTGTTAGCAGCTGTTATATTAATCGATAAGTCTTCAATGGGGTCCTGTAGAGCTAATTTGACCTACTGCTTCCTCTTTTGCCAGCCCTCCTCTCCTGCAGCTCTATGACTATGGTAGTACTCTATAATTGATCAGTTGTCGAACGGGATGAAAATTTATTAAATAACTAAAATGGATATAAAAAATAGGGGTTAGTGATAAAAAAATAATTCTTTAGGGTTGTATGTATTTTTTCATGCCACATTGTAAAAGTATAAAAACAAAACATTTCGTCCAAAAATTAAGAAAAACAAATTTTTTTAAATTGATCAACCCTATAAAATTTAGTAAAAATCGGTAAAACCGTTTCGGAGGAATAGGGTAACTAACATTGTGACATGGAAATTTTATATATTAGACATTATTAAACATAACTAACTTTTCTAAAAAAATTAATCATAGTTTAATTTTTATAACGGCTTGAACTTTCGATGTTACTTATGGTATAACTAAATAATATATTAGATAAAAAACGGCCCTCTGTTATTAAACATTTTTTGCTTATACAACTACAATGAATAAACAAGACGAATTTATGAAATTCTGAGAAAACTGTAAACCAAATAAAATTGCACAATGCTTTAAAGCAATGCATGGGAATAGGGGAAACCAGTCGCTCCAATATTAACACGGATGGAATGATCCGAAATTGAGGTTGTAAGAAGATGTAGACATTTTATGGTTAAAAAAGTTTTATTTAAATTAAGTTTTTTTACCCAATTTATACAATAAAAATTAAATATACTTATATATTTAGACAATAAAATATTTACATAGTTCAGTGTTAAATTTACATACCTAATCGAGCTCCACAAAAAAAAAAATTAAATTTTAACCTCAGAAATGTTGTGTCAGAGTAGATCCACAACGTGTCAGTAATAAACTCAATCGACGCAGTGCTTAACCACAGCGATAAAAGCTTTATCTTATGTACTATTCTTGCATGAACTCGGTATTTAAGTCACTGAATCAACAACACAAAGCTTGCACAACACTTCAAAGCACACTCCGTAAATGTCTGCATTACGCCGAGAACGAAAAAAAAACTAAAACATTTTTTAGTACGAGAAAATGAACTAATAGCCTTAGCCACTACTGCGTTGTAGAGCACCTGTCCTCTTCACTGTCGTTCGTATGTATGTGTCATTACGTCAATGAGTGGTGACTATCTTCTACCTTCTGGGCGACTTCTACATCATTGTCCGATTTTATTCCGGTTACGGCAGTAACCATTTCAAGTACAGCTTTCTGCTTCTATGTTGAGCAAGTCATTTAGCTCACCAATTATTGCCTACTATGTGCTATTCGAGACGGTCTGTTGGTCTTCCAACTATTCACTAGTTGGAATGCCATCCAATTATACTAGAGCAATTTTCATAATTTATTTTTGAATATAGACCAAAGCGCAGCCATATAAAAATGGTTGGTGTGTTTACAAAAAACGGTGCCCAGTGCAAAATTAATAAAAGACCGTTCATGTCTCCTTCAGTAATGAACACAGACGCTTATGTACATATGGGGTTTACTAGTCATTGAGCTAGGCTGAGCCTAATTATTTTAATTAAATGAAATAATTTATGCAAATTGTGAGGTCGGGAAAAATGCTCTAATAGTCCCACACTTCATTTATTTTATAACAAAATTAACTTTTGCAACACGCTAAGAGTACTAAGATGAACTTTGCAAGACATATCGGGCAAATTAGGCCTAACCATCATATTATATCTAATGAGAACTGTGAAGAACCTCTACGATTATTTTTAATCTATCAGTCTTGTCGATTAGGTCTCATATACGATTTTTAAAATGTTAGATTCGATTCTTCAGTGTGAAGAACTCATAGTAGACTCCTTCCTTGATACCGAAAAAGCCTACCACAATATTTCTAGTGAAGAATATGATTGTAAAGCAATTTATCCGCTATAAAGATATTTCCAAGAAAAGCTTGATATAAGCTACTGTGAGCTTTCCTGATTAATCACCCTCGAGTGGGTAGAATACTCAAAGAAGGTATTGATGCTTCAGAAAGAGAAAGCAGTTTTGAAACTATTGAAATCTCAAGCTTATTGTAGTACTTTTCTCAAAATAATTTATTCATATAATTTTAGTGTACTAGACTATCATTGTTTTCATTTCATTTAAAAATGGTCACTTTCGTTTTCTCTCATCAAAATACTCTTCATCTTCATCATGGTCAATATCCTCGTCCTCTTCTCCGACGTATATGTCATAATCCGCCAAAGCTGCATGTAGATCCCCCGTACGTGTCTCCAACTAACGACCAGCGGCTGCTGCGGCAGGTCCGGTTGGTCCTGTGGGCCCCGTTGGACCAGTTGGGCCGGCTGGGCCTCGTTCGCCAGGGAAACCACGTCTGCCACGTGGACCAGGCGGTCCAATTGGACCGGGAATACCTGGTCTACCGGGCAAGCCTCGTTGTCCAGTTGGTCCCGGCGGTCCTGGCGGTCCAGGTAAGCCATCGTCTCCCTTGTCACCACGATTACCTTGCAATCCCGTCTGCCCTGGTGGTCCGATTGGACCCGGCGGTCCAGGTGCACAAACGCACTGAGGTTGGGAGTACACTATTGATGGCTGACGGCCGCCAAGAAGAGCACGTTGCTCATTAAGGTTGTCTGCTGAACTTAAGCGGCGCTTACCTATGGTAGTGGGTAAGGCGATCACAACCAGAAGAATTAAGGCTAAGGAGCAAAGAGTAAATTTAAAGAAACAAGATATGAATATCAAAGAACCTCCTAGTTAAATTTTATTTACCGCTGAGTGCACAAGTTGTGATATGCATTGTTTTCCAAAGTTTAACTGAGTTTAAGGTGTGCCATCCGCAAGTTTATATAGAAGGGTTAAAATTAGTGCGAAATGAAAAAAATGTTAAGTTATGCAATTTTTATTAGTAGATCAGCTAATAAAGCACGCACATTTGCATATTTCTAATTTATAATAACGGAATTTTTACGAGCCATAGACCGTTAGTTCACCCAATTGATTGATTGATATGTAGTATATTAACATTTCAAGTCTATGGAGCAGTAAACCCATAAAATACGAATATAAATCAGCAAAATTGCCGAATATATAAAATAGGCATTCACGCTCCGTTTTGGCGTCAAACGCTAATTTGCCATGAAACTGTTAATACTGTTCGTCTGTTTTGGTAAAATATACAATTAACTTCAATAAAATAGCGTTAATTTGTTCATTCATTATCTTTCGTAGGACTCATCGCTTTGGCTGCTGCCAATTTCGTTACGCAAGTCGGTCCACCAGGCCCGCCAGGTCCGCCGGGCTTACCCGGTCCCCCAGGACCAAAAGGTGAAAAGGGTGAGCGTGGTTCAGAGGGACGTTCTGGTTTGGTCGGTCAGCCAGGATCAACTGGTCGACGTGGTCACACAGGCAGCCCGGGTCCAGTAGGACCACCAGGTGCACCAGGTTTACGTGGCCCGCGTGGTTATGTTGGTGCGCGTGGTCCTGACGGCCCAACCGGACCGATAGGACCCACAGGTCCAACTGGAACATAAATAATTAAATTATTTTTGGTATTTTATTGGACTTAGAAGTAACATAGTGCTTATAAAATATATTGTATGAAAATAAATTAAAATACCATCGGAAATGATAGGTTTTTCGATTTCTATTCCGAAATTTTATTTCAGTAATGGAACTCAAAAATTATGTTTAGGTTTGGTCATTTTATGCTTGGAAATTGTATATCGTCTTGTCCAGCGAAGTTTGCTTAAAAGCCCTAAGCTCCACATCCACTAGTGGATGTATTTGGAATATAACTATTCAATAAAGGTGAAACCGTTTTGTCGTTATGGGAATTCAAAGGATTGCAGTTAAGATTTAATTTTGAATTTGTTTATACAAATAAATTATATTGGAAAAAATAACGAATTTAAGGCTGCTTTCTCAATGTCTGGTTACCAGTCTTTCTGTCCAGTTAAAGGAGTTGACCGCTTAATAGAGCTCTCACTGTATATTTTATTTACGAATGTTTGTCACCATCCTATCTTTTAAGTTGCCTCGAAGTGGGTGCAGTGTGCTAAATTTTACTAAAATCGGTTCAGAAGTTTAGGAGTCCATCGGGGACAAACAACGTGACACTTGATTTTTATATATAAGGATAGTCCACAGAAAACAACTGGGACCACCGATGCTGTGGAGTATATTTAAATATACAATATCCCTAACAAAAGTCATCGTAAATTATTTACAAAATTAATACCTTTAATATTCTGTAAGATATCCTTTGGCATTAATAACAACCTGAACTCTCCTATTCATGGAATTTAGCAATATTATATTTACTTCTTCAGGAATATTTAACCAGATGACTTGAATATCTGTAATAAATTATGTTATATTATGTATATGTGTTTTTATTAGTTCAGCTTCTATATCTGCCCACAAATGCTCCATCGGATTTATATCTGAACATTGTGATGGGTGTGGTAATACTTTTTTGACATTATACATAACCTCCTTGCTTAACATTGTTGAGTGCTTAGGAACGTAACCATACAACAGATAAAAAATACGTGGTAAATCCAATTTCGCTAAAGTATCGGGCAAGTTTTTTTTTTACAATATCTAAATACCTATATTTAGTCAATATTTCTTTCAACATCAATAATCGCTGGCCGCTAATATTTTAATGAGGTATACGGGTAATTTTCCATTTACTTTTCTCAATTTATTGGTTGATATAGCTCCCTAAATCAGAGGTCTCTCATCCGAGGCTGTTGGACATTTTTCATTGCGGGCGTTTTTTAGCGCACAACCCTGTATAAAGAATGTTTCGCTTTCTCACTTTAGCTTGCCTTCAAACGGATGTTCTTAGGCTACTCAGAGGATACATATGCAGTTACTGCACGAGACTTAATTGAGTTGGATTGGATATGGACTTGTTCATTTAGATAATCCACGAGTCCTTAGATCAAACAGCGAAAAGAAAAGTTTGAAGGCAAAAAATATCGACACTATCCGAAGGTATGTTTTTAAACTAGTAGCACAAATGTTGTTTAAAATATTTAAACCGATCAACTTAATGATAATTCGGTGTTTCAAGCTAGGTTATATTGACCGAAAAATATTAATTTACGGGGCCGTTCGAATTCTATCTTATTCTGTAAATTGTGGATCTTTATTTTTCAGTAAAACTGTTGTAACTCCACAGTTTTTATTTTCTTTTTTTCTTTTCTCTTCGGCATTTAAATTATACCAGTTGCTTGTTCGTTTGCTACTCTTCAATGTTTCGCAAATCGAAGACTTTTATGTATAGTAGTTTTTTAAGGCTTTAAAACATTGTAGCGACAAGGTTTAGTCGGTGACATTTAATCTTTGCTCCAAGGGTTACTAAAGGTCAAATAACACCATTACACACATCCAGATTATGGCCAATATTCAAAGAGACGCATTTCACCAACCAAGAGATCAATGAATTTAATCGTTTTTATATGATAGTGTTCTCGTTTGATTACCGCTGATGCTGTTGTCGAATGAAACAGGTGAAAGACATTGTTAACGCTCGTAGGTTGTGGATTTGCTCCAATTAATTTGTACGAAGTTTTAGTTTCTTTTACGACGGCGATGATAAGCGCAAGTCGTCGCTCGTAAAACGAGTGGTCTCTATACTCGTACACTCGCAGCGAACTGTCCAGACGATTGTCATATGATCAGTTTGCTTATGGCAATTTGATTGCCTTCTCGATTTCCGCTCTTCTGTGTCATTAATGCGCCGCTCTTGTAGTTGTAATAAAAAGTGGGTACTTAAAGGTCTTTTGTGCAATAAAATTAGACGAGGTGACTTTTAACGAGGCACTAAAAAGGTAGCTAGAGTTATAGAGCGTGGGTGTATGTGCGTTTATGCGCAAAGTGTTGGCTTGACCAGATAATCAAATCTAGTTTATGGCTTTAAGATACTGGGTGTTTATATACAAATACACTTGATGTTATGTATGTGTGCATGTAAATTGTATGGTGTGGTTGTACTCCTTATTAAGACATCAAATTCTTCCTGTCATATACATATGTATTTACACATATACACATATACATGCTTGGAGAGAATATTCTTTCATCTATAAAAAAAAGTGCCGTCTGAATGTTGCTAAAGTGTGGCAACATAATTTGCTATATTGAAACTCGAATTGCCGTTATTGATGACTCGCCTAGATGGAGGTCGCAAGTGAGCTGATAAAGATAAAAAGAACGCGAGTCATAAAAAATATTGCACCACATTGCAAATTAATTCTTTCAAGAATGTTGAACTCTCATATACATTTCTTAATAAATTAACTTAGCTACAATTTAAAGCAAATGATTAATTATACCCTGAAAAGGGTATATTAAGTTTGTCATGAAGTTTGTAACACCCGGAAGGAAGCGTGAGAGATAAAAGATATATATAAATGATCAGGATGTTGAGTCGATTTAGAGATGTCCGTCTGTCTGTATATATACAAACTAATCCCTCAGTTTTTAAGATATCGTTTTAAAATTTTGCAAACGTCATTTTCGCATGAAGAAGCTGCCCATTTGCCGGAACTGCCGATATCGGACCACTATAACTTATAGCTGCGTTACAAACTGAACGATCGGAATCAGGTTCTGGTATTGAAAGCTTTCACATTTGACAATGTATATTCACCAAAGTTGGCACAAGTTATTTTCTAGGACAACAATGTAATCTCTGAAAAAATTGTGCAGATCAGCTTACTATAGCATATAGCTGTCATACAAACTGAACTATCGAAATCTAGTCCTGGTTTGACAAGATATATTCACGAAATTTCGTATAGATTATTTCCTAAGGGAAAAATGTAATCTTCGACAAAATTGTTCAAATCGGATTACTATGGCATATAGCTTCCGTATAAACTGAACACACAGTTACTAAAAGGAATGCACCTGTGAAGGGTGCACCGAAGTTAAAGTTTTTTCTTGTTTTAATTTATTTTTGATGACTCATTACCTGAGAAAATCTAATTTAAATTGACCAATTAAAGTTAATTAAAAAAAGTCTTTGAAATTTAATACTTCTTGATCAGGGAAATTATTTTTTAATAATCTAATATTTCAAATTAAGTAGCAGTTAATTGTAAATAAATAAGAAAATTCGTTAACTTCGGTTGCACCGAAGCTAGTACAAATACAAAAAGTTTCTTAAACATCTTGATTTTAATCGGTAAGTTTATATGACAGACATTTGCTATAGAGATTAATTTTGAGCAATTTCTTCGGAAATTGCGTAGTTGTTTCGGACGATAATGTGTGCAAAATTTCTTGAAGATATCTCGCCAAATAAAAAATGTTAAATTTGGCAGTTCAGAGCAGAGATTCCTTATAAGAAAATGTTCTAGTTCGCTCTAAAATCGGCGTTTCATTTCTAAGTCTATATCTTTGATTTCTAGGAATGGTAGTAAACCAACATGTGTGCGCTAATACTTGTGTTCATCTAGATGGGTACGACGTTAAAGATTTTATGTAATTGACATGTAGCCATGCCATCTGACGTTATTTATGTTAACGTATATATGATATTATTGAACTAACTATTGAATTCTAACTGATTTCGCAAATTACTATAATTCTGCTGTTTATATCGCTATTCATTATACCGACTACAGAATCATTTATCTCTTTATTCTCTATTTTTCCTGTTTGAAATTTTCTGACCAGATTCTAGACCAATATCCCTTTGGTTAACTATTATACTTTTCGCATTACAGTAATAACAATACAATTATTTCAACAACTTATCGCACCATCAACTTATTTCTCAACCAAACCAAGCATGAGTTCGAATAATCTGATATTAAAAATACAATTCCAAACATTGTTGCATATTGTTATTTCGTTAAAATGTTCTTACATACTTTCAAATCAACTTAAACTTATGGAGAAAATCTAATTTGAGTTTTCGTAAGTGTTATGCTTTCGAGTTTCCTGCATCTGCTTGTAACTAACGTCCTTCAACTACACTAATTTCCCTTATTTCTACTTTAACTTCGAAACAGTTCACATTTCTACCTCATTAAGGAGGCTCAAACTCGGATAGCCAACGAGTGCCGTATGTATTTACTATGTGTTCGTTTGTAGCAATTGAGCCAAGCAGGCTGAACTAAGTGTATCGAGCGGAGATTTCTTCCAACAAAAACAGATGAAATGAAAAAGGCAATAAAGAATTAAAAATAAGCAACAACAACAAAAAGAAATGTAGCAACCAGAAACTTTGCATAATTAAAAATTGTTTGCTGTTTTTTACGATTGCCAGCCAAGTTGGCGTTTTGGTTTGAATGTGTAGCTCAATAAAATCAACGAAATACGCTTGTTTTGTTTCGAATCAAAAAATAAGTCTACCAAATCGCAAAGTAGTTATAGAAAGCAAAGCAGCGCTTTAATGAAAATTGCATGGTCATAGCCATATCTAAATAAACACTGGGCATCAGAAGTATGTGGCAAATGTTTTTTCAGACACAAAATACTTAAATCATTCTGGAAATTTTTTATAAGTACTTTTGCAAGCTTACATTATTGAGAGCTTAAGTATTATAAAGAAGGTTGTCAGCTTGTGGAAAACTGCCGTCATATTAATCTTC